ACCCGGTGAAGGTAAGTGGTGGTGATGCACTGGGGTCAGAGAAGGGGAATGACCACTCTTTCGTCTGAGGACAGCTTCCTTTAAGAGTGTCTTTCTCGCAGTGGACCTGGATCCACGGACAGCAGTAGAGTTTGCTGCAGAGTCCAGGGGTTCTGCTGAGGGGGCTGGAATGTCAGCGGAGAGGGCTGCATAGCGGTTTGAAAGGCTCAGGACATGGGCCACGGCGCTGGATGGCTCCTCGCTGTCCGCAGGCTCTTTATTCCGAACCGGGCACTTAGGTGTAGAGCAAGAGGGCCCAGAGCTGACAGATCTCTCCCACACGACAGTGTCACAGTATGCAGCGCTCAGTGACATAAGTCGTGAGTGCTGCCCGCCAGCGACATCAAAAAGTTTGGACACGAGTGACTGTTTATCCTGCAGCTCTGCAGTGAGGCGAAGGACTTCTTTACGGAGGTCTGCAATAGTGGCACGGTCCCTCTCACGAAGCTCCAATGTGAGGCGACTAATGTCGTTCGTGGTCATTGCAGTGTCACTTTCCATGTCTGTGATGCGCTCGTGGTAGCCTCCGAGCTAGCGCGTTTCGATTGGGTCTTTGTGTTAAAAGACGTGATGCTCTGGAACCATTAATAAAACACTAGAGTGTACAAAAGACACTAATACACCGTAAAAACGTGTTTAAAAGGCTTTAAAAGGCTTAAAAAAGGGTAAAACAGAGCAGAGACGTCAAAACGCGTGCTCACTCGCGTGCTCGCGTAAAGGGAAAACAAACCAGACAACACAACAGAATACATCTTGTCCCGCTCCCGCCAACCCTTTTTGAGTAGAACATCTCATATGTATATGATATGTGTATTTTTAGCCTCTGTCACATGTTTAGACCAGCTTTTCCAGGAAAAAAAATGAAAAGGAGAGGACCATGCTCTCTCAGCCAATCAGCTCCCAGCCCAAATAGGGACTCACAGGGCTCTTTATTACAAGTATACAAAATATGACATGTTTTCGAATAAGATGAAGAATATGGTCTGATTTGTTCACTTTTTAGTTTTTTTATGTTTTGAATGTTTTATTGTTTGGTACATACTCCAGCTTTAAGCCTGCTACAAGCCATACCACTGTTGCATTTTGTTTATTGGATCAAAACAGACTGCTTTATTTGAGGTAGAAAATAAGAAGCAATCTCAAGTCCATATTTTTTCAGGCTCATGTGAGAAGCCTGAAAAGTCTAAAATGTGAAGTGTGTTGTTTTTGTTTTGGTGGTCACACAGGTCGCAAGTCAAGTCACTGCTTGGTCCAAAACACTGTCGCTCATGGGAGGAGTCGCAAGGGGCCAGGAATGTAAACAGCCCGGATCTTTTCCCTTAGCTATAGAAGGCAAGGGGACAAGGCGGCTGCTCCTATAACATTAGCCAACCAATTTAAAGATTATAAAAAAACAAGGGCCGTGTGATTAATTCCCCTGGCTGCCACTAGTGCTATTTAAAAACAGCTGGAGCGGTTTCCCTCCAAAGGGGCCATTTATTTAGCCTCCGACAACAAGAACTACTCGAGCAGACAAGGCGTATTAGCAGACGTAGGGATGTTTACTCTGCTCTTCCAGCTTTGGAGATGTAGCCTCGCTAATACACGTCTTTGTGCGTGTGTCATAGACCTGAATGGAACACGGCTAATTTTAGCTGGTGAGAACTAAATAAATAATGAAGACAGGCCTGGTGTGTTTGTGCGAGTTTGGACCGGGGGCACCCATGTGTAATCGAGGCTGGAGGGAGGAGGGGGGGGAGGGGGGGGGGGGGGGGGGGGGGGAGATGGGGAGTGTGGTGTGTGTGAGTCGGGGGGGGCTGACCGGTGCCATCGGGTTCATTCCCTCGTCAGATCTCTGTCCCGTCCTCTCAATAACACACACACACGCACACACCCCTTTACCCACCCAAAAATCTTGCTGCCCACCCACAGGCTTTCTTCAATAGCAGCGTGTGTGGCGAGTGGCTGGACTCTGCTTGACCATTTCTCAGTCAAAACCATTGAAAATTAAAGTATGATTAACAAAAGAAAAGACAGAAGCAGTTCAAATAAACATGGCTCAAATCAACATCAAATAGAAAGTATAATAACAAAGCAAGGAGGTTCTTTCTGTACATTCAAGCTGAGGTTCCTTTCTTCTAAACCACAACAAATTAACTTAAAATCAATCTAATTAGTTCCTTACTCTCAAAACAGATGGATTCTATCTCTATAGTTTCACGTGCATGTATTGTTGGCCTCTGTCACAGCCCTAGATCAGCTTTTTCAGAGAGAAAAGTAAAAACGAGAGGACCAATCAGCTATCACACAACCCAAAGTATCAAATATGGAAAAGATGACATGTTTTTTAAGGAGATTTGTTCACTTCAGGACAGGGCATTTTACTTTTACAAGACTGTTTCGATTGGGACAAACACAATGTAATATTTATGTGGAAAAAGTTCAGTATCCAAGCTGTAGTCATTTCATAACTAAAGCTGTCATTTCGTAATCCATTGCTTAAAAGTAGATTTGCCGGGCCAACACAAAGTACATTTTGGGCTTGTTCCCAACCTGGATAAATGCACATGAAAGGAATCTAATCCTGTGATATCAACATGTCAAAGATTGTATTCAACACCAGATTTCTATGTATTACTATGATCTTTCCTTGTTGTTTAATCGCCACCTGGTTCGTTAAGTGATTCAGGCTGCTTCCCGGTACATCTCAGTCATTCTCACCCAAGTGTCTGCTTCCATGGTTCCCCATATACAGTACACACACACACACACACACACACAAACCCAGAGTCCCATGACCTCACTGCATTCCCGGTGCTGCCTGTCAGGTTGATTCTGCTTTTCCACCACACTCTTTCCCACCCCAACCTTTTTCTATTTTGTCCCATAGATCCTTCTCCGGTGGTCCTAAATATAGGTCTCGTACAGTAATATCGGGTTAGTTTGGCTTCTCACAAATAGTACTCATGCCATATTGTTATTATTACAACACAATGATAGCTTTTGGCTTGTTAACAGGGGATTGGCTGTGACATTTATTCAATATTGCCTCGTCAATGCTATAAAAAGTTCTATTGAAGGTGCATTACAAAACTATCCTGGTGGAGGGTCTGTCTACTTTCTTAGGAGAACCGACACAATGCAGAGTTTTCTTGTGAAACTAAAAAACAAAATACTGTAAAAGTTAGGGTAAGGGTTTTTGAAACGAAAATCTTGTTTTAAGACAGAAAAGACACAAATTAAGATAAAAACCACTTTATTTTAGCATTTATCACCTGATATTGTATCTCCTTTTGCCGTGTGGCCTTCTCTTTGGAGAGTGAGGGACAAGATACATGGATTTTACTATTCATTTGGTTGGAAACTCAGGCGCCCCAGCTTTAATATTCAACAGTCAACCCTATAGCTGTTTTTGGTCCTCCATTCTCAACTCACTAATTGTTTATAAACTGGATCTCAGTTGCTTCCGACACGAGTGAGTGAGGCGGGCAGTGCAGAACAGACGCACAAGTGTTGGTGTTCGGTGGGAGTCGCTGAGGAGGGGTACAACAGCGCGCCTCGTGAATGGGACGTTTGTTTTGGAGACTCGCAATGGCGTCCGGCTTTGTGAAAATAGCTCTTGTGTTGGTGATCGGAGAAAGACGAGGAGACCGGATCGCGCTGGGGGAAAAGAGAAATGCCGGTCCTATGCGTGTGACATTTCCGCTCCCCCGTTTGATTGTTGCATGCAAATGAAAGCGCACAAACAAGTACACCAGGTCAGAGGTCTGCGCCGCTTTCCACAGGGGGAAAAGGCAACACTTTGAGGAGAGGGTGTGGTGGAGTGAGGTTACGGGGATACACACAAAGACAAAAAACACAACAACAACATTGCAGCGAATGGAAATAAACTGCTACAGTAGTAGTGTTTGTGGGCAAAACATGATTGGTGTATTGTTTTGGTGGTTACTGGAGGGGGTACCTGTATTGCATCAGGAGGGGGGTGTTGTCACTGGAGACGGCGTGGTGTCAGATGCACAGTACTGCTAAATGCCAGTGTGTTTATGTCCCGCTGTGAGAGCACCTGCTGCACCAGAGCCTATGTACGAGACACACATGCATGCTTACACACACATGCATACGCATTCCGCACACACACCCATGCATACGCATTAGGCACACACGTACGTACACATACGCATACGTTCACATACGCTCACATACATACACAAACACACATATAAACATGTGGAGGAGTGCTACCTTAATGATGACTCCGGCTCATAGTAAAGGGGGAGGGGCCTGGCTAATGCATGCGCAAAAAGCATTTGCGCATGCATTAGCCAGCACTAGCCCCATACATTAAACGAGTGCCTTCTGAAGGCCACAGCAGCTAAACTAGACTGGTCCAAAAAAAATAAAAATACTGCTCTAAGCATTGACACACATCTAGAACGTAGCGTTGGGCCAAGAGCCGATTTTTGGACGTAATACAAAAGCATTGGGTAATTCTCTTTCGATTCCACCCCCACTGGCCCAGAGTGAGATTGTAAGCATGTCAGCGCACGTGCTCATGGACACTTTTGGAGCAGGGACCAGCCCCCAATGAGTGGGACCCACCATCAACAATAACCAAAATAATCTGGAATATAAATAATGTGAAATACTGTATATTTTCACAATGGAATGACTAATTAGATGCTGCTCAGTTGATTTCCGGTTTATCGGCCGATTAAACATAAAATCAAAATAATTTACTTGTGATGACTGAAAGCTGCTGCCAACCCACCAGTTGAGAACCACTGGTTTGTGCTCCAGAGATGTTGACTTCTCAAGATCATCTATTGTTGCAGTTTAGTTTGTCTTGAAGTGACGTAGAATCCCTACTGATGAAAAACACTTGAAATGTTTTAAATGCGACTGTTAAAATCATGAACCGTTCCAATGGTCATTTTTGTGTGAATTAACGACAATAACATATGTTTCCCTTCTTTTCTTCACAGAATGAACACAGAGGGTCGCCCCACGCCCCCGCTCTGCTTGTTTCCACGGCGACGGCTTTTGCCCTTTGACGACTAACGGTCTTGGGGACTGCCATCGCCATGACAACACGGACACTTGACCCTCCAAATCTCCCCTCTGCTTTTTATACATTGAGGCGCCATCTTTGCTGCTGTTACTTAACCAGAACTGAAATGGGACTTGGGACGAGAGAATTTATATCTGTTCTACAAATATATGACGTTTTCTTTTTTTTTACCAATTTATTTTAACGTTTAGCCAGTTGGCAGCCAGAAGACCCTTGCATAAAAATCTGTGAACCAAACCTGGAGAATACATGCAAAAAAAAGGCATACAGATCCCATATATTTATTTATTTATCCAGTATGTATGCCTCTGAAGAATGTTTGAATTTCTAAAGAGATTATTCTGCAAAAAAAATGGCATTTGTGAAGATTTTAAGATCAGTTTTGCTTAATGAAAAAACCTACCTCACCATATGCCGAGTCGGTACCAGATCACACAGACAAAATGAAAAAGGATATTAATACTATATTTCCATATTTATTTTCAGAAGTGATTGTTTTGAGCTCACCTGTCCAAAGCCTTATTTATGATCCATTAGACCTTCTCTGGCGGATCTGCTCGTTTGGACCTATAAACACGCAGTATATCAAAGATCACATATGACTGAATGTCTGCCAGATAGAATGAGATTTATTTTATGTTTTAAATTAAACAATATAATGTATCCAGAGCAGAGTAATATATTTATTCAGACAACTGCAACAGAAGAATAGGAAGTGCTCATTGGCTCACTCTCGCTCCCTTAGAGGCTGCGTAGTATTTCACAGCCCTGACCCTGGACTCGCTCACATGTGGCTGAACAAATCCCCATCTCTGCACCTTCAGCTCCATCACCCCAGGAACACACACACAAAACAACAGTAGTTAATGATGGACTAGCCCAGGCTGGTGCCCCTCTGTGCGTCTGTCGGGGCAGGACACTTCCTGTTCCTGCCGAGCCGCTCCTTGAGAGACGCAGCTAATGCACGGTCTTGCACTTACCACGTTTCTCGATTGTAACACAAGACACGTTGAATGTAATATTTGTTCCAAGTATGGGAACACGCGTCAACGGATACTGCGACTGCCACAGCAAGGCCACACACTGAGGTTCAGTCTATTACAGATACAATTATTCTCCATCTTGTGCAAAGAGAAACCAACCAGGGGACGTGTCTTAATTTATCTGAATTCACTGGTACTTAACCTTTGCCTATATATTGTACATACAGTAGAGTGAGAATTTCATGGCTGCAAAAGAAAATGTTAAATTAATAAGTTATGTTGTTTGTTTTGTATATATCCTTATATGTGTTCGAGTGAACTTTCTGACAACAAAAGCACTAATTGTTAAGTTATGCTACAACCTAAACGGTTTGGCTCTGATTTTATTTTGTAAAAACTTGTGAAACAAATGCCACGATGAGGACCTTTTCTATTGCTGTTCTAAAACAACTTTCAGATAAATTATTGCTACTTGACGCTATTAATTGTTAGGTACAATGGCATATATGCAATATTTACACTTTTATGAAAATCAGTTTACAATGACATACCAAATGTATAAATATAATTGATAATATTTGTTTGAATCAAATGATGGCTGTTTGTACAGTTCTTCTAAATTGACATTTGTTTTGTTTGTTTTTTGCTAATTATTATTGGTGTTTTCAGCAGTGTTTTTTTGCATTTGGATACTGTTTTTATTCGGCATCTAAAAGGTTACAGTATGAGCTGCTGTGTCTTCTCATTGTAAATATTTCATATGGATTGAATATTGTGACGCTACTAAGAGATGATGATTTTAACTTAATTCATTGCTTTAGATTGTACCATGTCTTTATAGACACATGCAATAAATAATGTTATTTAAGAAAGCGAGTGTGTGTGTGTTTGCCCTTGTTCTTGCCCTGCACATTCATCACAGAGCCACGGAGCGTTTCATGTTCTTATGAAAAGACAGCAGCTGTTTAAAACCACACGCTCCTCCCTTTTGAGAAATGACACAAGACTTGGCTGGGTGTAGGCCTATCTAAACTAGTGTCTGCAGCATAGCATTGTTATTGTTTTACTACTACGCCCCACCCCCTCCCTCGCGATATTAATTAGGCCGACTTGTTGAAACAGACCCCCAAACAACGTCGTGATAGGCTTATGATTTTACACCCTTAGCCATATGCTGTCAGATTCCCATTCTCACAAGCCTGGTAATTAAAATGGTAATTAATGCTGTGAAATAGATTTAATTGTCTGGGGCGGCCTGGTCTGTTAAGCTTTGTGGGCTATGGGACATGTTTGTAGTCCAGACTCCGGTAATAGTGGGGGTTGATGGGGACAGGTACCATTGAAAGAAAAGGTTACTTCACACAGGCTTTGAAGGAGACCACAAGGATGAAGGATGAGGCCCCAAGCAAATCACCTCACACCCATGCTAGAGTCTTTTAAAGTAAATGTTTGAATAAGCGTAAACGTCACATTAACCACTATTCATTCATTAATTATATGCTGGAAAGTGAGGATTGTGTCTGTATATCCAAGGTCAGACATATGTATGGCAGAGAAGAATCATTCAAGAGGTTTATTTCAGTAAGTAGTAAGTAGTAAGTAATCTGTATTTATATACCACCTTTTCACTGCAAATCTGAGTCCCAAAGTGGTTTACAATTGTTTATTTTGGGCATTTGTCTCTCACTTCACACAGAGATGGGAGCGGGGTCGCCAGTACAGGAGGCGCATGCCAGAACTATTGTACATATTTTTAGTGGTAGGGGAAACCGGAGCACCCGGAGGAAACCTACGCAGACACGGGGAGAACATGCAAACTCCACTCAGAAAGGCCCTGGTCCGACCGGGATTCGAACCGAGGACCTTCTTGCTGAGAGAAAACGCGTACCTTTTCCCTCTCTCATTCTACACACACAAAAGCATGCTGTAATAGTATCATATTAATGATCATAAAGTGTAATAATAGTATAATTTAAAGATAATGTCTTGAGTGAAAGTATTGCAGCCCTTAGATCATGTATTATTTTGGGTGAAAAGCTAAATTATTTGCTCTTTGCTTTTCTGACATTATACAATATTTTCTGGATTTCAGCTGTTTTGCTTTTTTTCTTTTTTTAACTGAAACAAAATATTGGTCAATGAAATCTGGAACGTAAACTCCAAATGGCACCATGTATGTGTTTTGTTCAGTTGAGCAAAAAAAGAGAGAAAAAAACAAGATACCTGCACATAATAAAACATGTATCCACAATGTAAACTGCAGAACACAGTATTTGTACTTTTTATAACTAGTAACAAAGTAAGTAATCTTTATTTATATAATGCCTTTCTCAGACCAGAGTACTGTTCCACTATCCATGTTATTAAATATGGCTGTATTGCTCATTCACAAGAATAGTACTACCATCCTGTATACACACAACCACAATTCAGATTCTAAACTAAACCTGGTGGCTCGGGGTGCATTGACAAAACAATATTCAAACGTAACTTTACTTCCACAAATTCTCAAGTAAGAACAAGTGTATGGGATTTTTTGGTGGTGACATATGATTTATGATTGACTCTTTAGAAAAATGCTTTGATTCAGGTGTGCATGCGTGCATTGCTTCTCCTGCTGCCAGCCCCACTTAACTTTGCAGATGGCTTTAAGAATAGTGCGTTTGATGGGCAGAGAGCACAGTGCTGTCGCCTGGAGGAGGATCTGGTCTTCTCTTCTGATTTGTCCCTTTGTCTCACCACTGCCAAGAGGCTAATGAGCGTCAGACAGGGCAGTCCTCCAAGGTAGTCCTCCAGAGCACAGAGTGTGACCAGGAGACGCAGGACGCCTCTATCACCACCACCTAATCTTATGCTTTAATTACACCAGCTAATTTGTCTCATTAATTGGGATTAAGTGGGTTAAGAAAATGTTATTGGCCTACTAGACTCATTCTAGTCTATGTGGATGACGCACTTTACAGCCGCCCCACTGGTGTCTCCCATCACAGAACTAACCAGGCCCTGTCCTGCTTAGCTTCAGAGGGATCTGGCTTACACATGCACATTACACATGGCTAACATAAAATACATATATTTATATAATTCTTGTGATAACTGTAAAACCTAGTATTCCACTTGGAGTATAGGGTGGATCAGAGTAACAATAAAGTAATTGTAGTTGGTTTGGTGATTTGAGGAAGTTAACCACCGTGACTCTGAATGTGAATCTACGAAAAAGCGTCATATTGTTATTTTGTATTTTATTGAGTTCTAATCATTGACACCCAAACAACTGTATTCTTTAGCTCAATATAGATCTCCATGGACTTGTCTAGGGCCAGGCTAGGGCCAGGCTAGGGCCAGGCTAGGGCCAGGCTAGGGCGGAGCCTCTGATTTGACCTGAGTTTTCCTGACGTTGCGTTTAGGGGGAGTCTGAAAAGATGCTGCCCCTAAATGCAACTGAATAAGGACGCATTGTTTTAGCTCAATGTTGAGATTTCAATTGTAGTAAATAAATAATAGTGAGTCTGGTTTCATAGATGATCATATTCAGTGGATAGAATCAAGCTATGTCTGCTCATTGTCAAAAAATGTATGTATTTAAAGGTAAGTAAGTAAATACAAATGATCCGACATGCATTTCCCTACAGCTATGTCCCTACAGACATACAGTGGCAATGATAACAAAAGCACTTATAGGAGTCCATTTTGCAATAGGCGTATGCTTTAATACATTTACTTAGCCTTAACATTTTTCGCTATACTATTGTAAGCCTATACCTCTAATGTGTATCTGTGGCGTCAGCTGCTTATTTGACAGCAGACCGGGGTAAAGTAGCCCTGGACTCTGGGGAATCAGGCTCCGTATGTCCAGAGACCCACAAGCTCCAAAGGAAATAGCTTCTTCCTGTTTGGGACACTCATAATACATTAGCAGTTTGGTGTGTGTGTATG